TAAAAGCTTGAGACATTTTCATGAAGGTTTATAATAGTTTAGAATGACAATGGTTCATGAAAATACACAATTTTGCATTATATACATGACTTCTATAATTTTCTAAACGGATACCTAATTTAAAATGTACGGAATAATTTTCAAATTTCAAACAGTTTTTCAAATTTCAAACATCAACAAGTTTCTTTAATCGGATAACCAGACCTGACTTAATAAGTGCAATCGACCTGACTTAAAAAGTGCAGATAACTTTTTAAAAATATCTGATGAACCTCCACACAGTTCTAGCCAATGCATGCTATCCTTTTTTTTCCGAGTTGCACAACTATCTCCGTTCCACCAAAACCATTGAAGCTTAGAGGTTTAGCTCTATTCCAATTTATCGTTTCTTATTTTCTTTTAATGAATATGAGAAATGAAAAATTTGTTATTGATTTGTTCAAAAAAACCTGTGTTTTTATGAGAGATAAATGTCTTTTATAGAAAGAAAGGTTAATTGTTTCAGAGAGAGAGAGAGAGAGAGAGAGAGAGAGAGAGAGAGAGAGAGAGAGAGAGAGAGAGAGAGAGAGAGAGAGAGAGAGAGAGAGAGAGAGAGAATAATGTTTTTTTCACTTGAATTGGTAAGAGAGAAAAGTGTACGATTTATTTGGCTAGGATAAAAAAAATGTTTTTTTGGTAACAATGAAGGAGAAGAAAACGTTGTGTTCTAAGAGAGAAAATAGGTTTTTGGCATTTGAATTGGAATTTGATTTAAGGGTTTGTTTGGTTAGGAGGAATTGAAAAAATGGTTTTCGTGTTTCGAATATAATACTAGAAAAACTACATGATGTCCTTTTTTAATAAATAATATTTATTTATTTGATGTTCATTTTAATAAAGATATAACACATGGTTAATAATTTTTAAATAGACATGATAACATTTATGACTGTTGTAATAATAAAATTTAAATTTAAATGTTGTTTGTCTTATGATTCTAAATCTATTTTGGAGTATTCAAAATTCACAAATTTAAATTAAAACTTTGAAGGAGTATAAAAAAATGTTAGTCCGAAGAGGAAAAAACTTCAGTAACTTGAAGAAGGAGGTGTAGTCTCATATCTATCACAATTTTATCTTCAAGCTTTGGTGATTTTATATCTTATTTTATTTTTCGGAGCTGTAAAAATATTGTGGATCACATTTTATAAGTGCATAGAAAATTACTTGAAGTTTTCTTGCCTTCACGTTTTGCAGTCACATATTGTAATAATCCGAAGAAGTTTCAGTAATGAGCATTCACGATTGAAAGAGGTATCTCTATAAAATGAATTGTTTTTAGCCAATTTATATCATTCTTAGATCTTATATACTACTCTTTGTAGAAGGTAAATTAATTTTAAACTTGTACTCTACTGATATATGTAAAATGCATCGGTATGAGCTAAAATATATCATTAACTACAATATAGAATATCTTGCATTACGTTGAATGGAAGCATTTTACGGTCCACTCAGGGTGTTGTTGATAATAGATATAATGTTGAAACATAATGTAGAATTTTATCATGACCTTGAGTGCTGGTGGTATTGCATCCAATTTGACCGTAGCAACACACTTGAGCATTTTTGATTTTCTTTTATATTCAAACAAAATATGGTAGTTAATTTTCCTTGGAATTAAGCTAAGATTTGTTTTGGTTTGTTGGATGTGGACATGTTTTCATTAAAGAGTAAATGAAGAAGATGAGCTTAGAAATTTGAACATTAGTACAGCCACTTAACTCAAAACTTATGTTGTTCACGCAATCCTTCTGCTATTCAGGTTGTTTCCAACTTTTCCTCTGATTTTTCTACACTATGATACAAATGTTAGATTCTATATTCAATTTTCTTTTATTTTGATCGTGTTTTTTTTTGGTGTGATTTGAATTATAAGCTAATTGAGAGTTGATTATATTTTGTATTTGTTTTCAATTGTATATTTTTATTAGAAGATATTTCTTAAATCTATTATTTTATATTTATGTTTATGTGCATTTAAACTTCAATTAGTCTAATAAAATATCAAATATTTCTTATGTCTATTATTTCAATTTCTAATAGAAGTTTAAAGTTTTTTTTTGTAATAATTCAAAATATTATTTTTTTGATCAAAAATATATTTAATACTTAATTTAAAGTCTTTTTATTATTAATAAAGATGTCATATATATTTGATATTATTATCTTAAATAAATGATGTTAAATGAAATTTATGATAATATTATTATTAAATAAGTAAATTTTAAATTAAATAATATTAAAATTGTATGATAATATAAAAGTTTATTAATTATTAAGTAAAAGAAGTATGATGTTGCAAATGTTTTGTATTCAATATATAAATCTTATTGAATTTGTTCAAGATTCTTTTTTTACGTTATCAAACCTTTTTGATTTAAGAGTGTTTAATGATTGAAAAGCTTACCGAACAATCAAAATGTTTTGTAATTGTAGGATGATATGTTCAAAGATGCATGGGTTTGTAGTTGAGACCAAAATGTTCATGTTTTTGCTTGCAAAAGAGAAATTATCGAGAAAAGGATTTTAATGTGTTTATGCACGATAACTACAATTTAAGTTTTTTTACTTCTATTACAGAATTTGTCAATTGCTCCACCTTAGTTATATTTTGATTTTATAAGTTGAAGAAACTTCAAATAAGATTATTTAAATTATTTATGTGCATTTGTTTTATAGAATATTAGAAATGTGATAAAAATTTATTAGTATCTTTATATTTAAGTTTGTTATTAAAGTTTGTTATAACAATACTTAATTTTTTTTGCATAATTAATTTTAATACTAATATTTAATTCTATTTAATTATGTTGTATAATTGACTATAACTATATTTAATTTAGTTCTATTTATAATTATTTTTTAAAATTTAAAAAATATGTATACTTTAAAAATTTGATACGACTATCTTTTGTTTCTATTTTAAAAGAATCAAAAGTAATTGTAAAGGTGTATAATTAATTTTATTATGTTTGATCATTTTTAAAAATAGATTTGACCAAGTCTAAAAAACTGATTTTTAATTAAAATTTGTATACGGGGAATAGGTTTACCATTGATTCAAATATTTATATAAATAACGCTAAAATAAAAATAATATTTAAATACGGTAAAAAACATATTGTTGATTAAAATATTTTTATATATAGAAAAAAATTATAGGACAAGAGCTTATTACCTCATTTAAAAGCAAAAAATTCTAATGTACACTCGTGATTAGAGAGATCGTCAAAGGGTTTTTTTTTTCCGCTCGTTTGCTCTTCATGGAGATATTCATGAAACCGTTTATATACATCAACGATTGGGTTTCCGCGACCCTATCACCCAGATTATGTGTGTCGCTTGCAAAAATCTCTCAATAGTGTGAAGCATGCACCTCGTTCCTGGTACCAATATTTTGCTGACTATACCTTCATCATTGGATTTCACTATTATACCTTTGATCACTCTCTCTTCATCTACCATCGTGGCGCCGACACGGCTTACATCTTACTTTATGTTGATGACATCATCCTCACCAGTTCCTCTCATGACCTATGTAAATCTATCATGGGCTTCTTGCCTATGAGTTTGCTATAAATGATCTGGGACCGCTGGGCTATTTTATGGGTATTGTAGTGACACGACATGCAGAAGGACTATTTTTTAGTCACAGTACCTACACTAATGATATTATTGCTCGAGCAGACATGGCCTCATGAAAACCTTCCTCTGTTCCCGTTGACACCAAGCAAAATCTAAATACATCTTCCCATACTCCATATGATGATCCTACATTATATCAGAGCCTTGACACTATAAAGTAAATCACATTTACCCGTCTCGGCATCTCCTATATATATTGTCCAACATGTGTGTCTTTACATGCATGCTCCCTGCATTGAGCACGTGCCTACACTAAAACGCATCCCACATTACATTCAAGGCACATTACAATATGGTTTGCATCTCTATCCTTCTCCCATCAAGAAATTTATTTCCTGCATAAATGCTAATTGGGGTGGATGTCCCGACACTTGTCGATCTACATTGGGTTATTGTGTTTTTTTTAGAACCTAAATGCATGGTCTTCCAAGAGACAACCCACACTTTCCCGTTCTAGTGCAGAGGGTGAGTACCAGGGCATTATTAATGAAGTTTAAGAATCATGTTGAATCTGCAACCTTCTGTTGGAGATTAATTTTCCTATTTCCCAGGATACTCTTGTATGCTATGACAATGTTAGTTCTATCTTCCTATTCGACAATCCTATCCAGCATTCTTCATGTTCATTCCTAAAACACATTGAGATGGACATTCACTTTATCCGAGAGAAGGTCGTTCGTGATCAAGCCCACATTCTTCATGTTCCTTCTCAAACCATATTGTTGATATCTTCACCAAAGGCCTCCCTAGAGTTATCTTTGATGATTTACAGACTAGTCTAAGCATCCGTCAACCTCTCGCTTTGACTGTGGGAAAGTGATTGAATATGTATTATTTTGTTAAAGAATATTTGTATACAAGTCCCACATCAACTATAACATGCAATGAACTATATATATAATACAAACTAGATATTATAATTCTAACACGGTTTATCTCAATATCTTGCATTAACCGCCTCTCTACGTTCCACCATATTTTAATTTTTTTATAGTTTTGATGAAGACATATTTTCCAAGTACTAGTTTACCATCGCTTTACTAGAAGGAATATTCACATATGTTTCAAGATTGTAATGTGTTCTTGTCTTCATTTGGGTTTCAACCTGTAATGTATCAAATTCTTTTTGGCTTGAGTATATTTTTTTATACTAATTTTGATATTAAAATTCACAAATGAAATGAAAAGAAATAGAAATAGAAATATATACAGTGCATATGGATGGTAAGCCGAGAAATACTTTATGTAATATAAATATAAATATATACATTTCATCCATTTATTCTTTCTAAAAAATATTCCACCATAGTGTTTTAAATTAATAAATCAAATGATGTAACTGAATAGGGAGCAAGTTCAACATTCATGTCATTTCTTGCATTTTCAAGTGAAGTTCTTTTGGGCACAATCTGTACATATACAAAATGAAACAAAATCATGTATTAGAATTTTTTATATAATCAATGTTGATTAACCATAAATTAAAACAACTTATCAAAATAAAACTTAAATTAAAACATAAAGAAATTGATTTCAAAAAATCACCATATATACGTATGACAAGCTACATACTGCGTTAAAACATAAAGTGTACCTTTGTTGGTTCGGAGAAAGAATTTTCATCCATTTTATTCGAGGATGTAAGCATCACTTTTGATGAACCAGATTGTTGCACATTTGATTTTAAATTATTTATTAAAATCTCTAAATACTCAGTCGAGTTTCCAAAATTTACTACCTGCACAAGTCAATAGTTGCAAAGTTAACTAATTAATAATTAAATATTTTAAATCAATATTTATTCTTGATAAAAATTTGTGTTGTTTTACCTTGACTTTTAGATAATTCTTCCCATCTTGAGAATTTTTATACTGAATTGCTGAGGCAACAATTGAGCTAGAAGAGTTGTGGAGAGTTGAATTAAGAAAGGTTGCTCCATTAGAATCAATAAAAAATTGTTGGAGCCAATAACTTGGAGTTCCATAATTTTGATAAGAGTTGAATACAATTGCATCAGGAATCCAACTGTTTCATATGTAAAAAGTAAATAAATAAATCATCTATTTCTTTACATATATAAATGATAATTAAAAATAAATGATGAGAAATTAGAAAATTACTATTTGTCATTTGTGTTTACAAAGAGGGGTGCATAGGCAACCATGCTGACAACATCACTGTAGAAAATTGAAAAATGATTAAAATTTAGCTCAAAAATTACAAAATTTATAAACTAAATGTAACGGAAAATGTTATATATAATAAAACCTAACCTATTTTTTTCGAGTCCAATAAGAAATGCAGCTTCAGCCAAAGCTGCATAAAGGCTTCCATTACCTGCATCTTCCCTCCAAACAGCATACTCACTAACATATGCCTATAAAATGAAATTAATAAAACATGAGCAAATTTCTATATCAATAAATTTTTAAATGTTTAATCTGCCTTCTAGAAAATATAATTCATTATTTTATAAATAAATGAAAAAATATATTTAATAATTAAACCTTTGGACCAGATCGTGGTGCTTTATCGAACTTGGTATATTGGGAAAACATGTCCTTAGAATTTGTATAAATCTAATAGTTGAAAAAAAATTAACAATAATAAGATGTAAGTTACTCAACCTAAATTAAAATTTAATAATTAAAAAAGATAATAATAATAATAAAAAATTGAAAAATAAATTAATAATTAAATCAACAATATTATTACATGAAAATCATAAAGATCGGCGGGATGATTTAATGGATATTGAGAACCGTCACAATTTGAGATGATCTGAATATCAGGATATCTATATTTTATAGCTTTATAGAACTGGAGATAATTTCCTAGATAGTTATATTTACCACAATCTTCATTTCCAACTCCAACATATCTCAAATCAAATGGCTTTGGATGTCCCATGGAAGCTCTAAGAGAACCCCATTTTGATTGAGTAGAACCTCTAGCAAACTCAATACCATCTAGAGCTTCCTATTAATTAATGATAAAAAGTATAAAAAACAATGAATTGATTAATTAAAATTACAAATAAAAATTAGTTAATAAAATAATATTAAGAAAATTATACTTGTACAAATGGTGAAATTTCAGACGTATTAATTTCATCATGGTGACTAATACCATTATTAAACACCCATATTGGATATGCACCAAGATCCTCTGATAACTGTTTAATACACAAAAAAAATTAATATTTTTTAATTTGAAAAGAAAAATATTTAATATTTACAACATAAAAAATTACTTGAAGTCCTTCAAAATAACCAAATCCATCATCGGTCCAATACTTCCACATATCATTATAGTGGCCAGGTCTCTCTTCCCATGCTCCAACTGTATCTTTCCACCTAAATGCATTTTTTAGATAATTTCCCTCAACATAACAACCACCTATGTAAAAAAATATGTTATATTTTTGTAACTTAGTAAAGTTAAAAAAGAAGAAGATGGATATGAATCAAAATTTTCCTTTAAAGAAACAACTACTTAAAGCTATTCCAACTCAATAATATTGTACCATACCTGGGAATCTAAAAGTTTTTGGCTTTAAATCTGCCACCATTTGAAAAAGGTCATTTCTAAAACCATGACCCTATGTCCAATAATGATTAATGAGATAAATTCTTATAAAAGAAAAAAACTAAATAATCTCAAAATAAATAAATAAATAATATAAAATAATTTTATGCATAATATACCTTATATGTATCTAAAGGCATGGCTGAGACTTGATCTAACCATAATACTCCTTTTTTGGTTGTTGATATTTGTAGATTTGAATTATGATTAGTACTTTTGGCTTCAAGAATTGTTTCCATCTTACTCCACTTTGTAACATTAACTCCAGAAGCTCTGGCATTCATTCATTAATAACTCAATAATTAGTTAATTTTAGTTTGATAATAATAAAATAATGAACAAGATGTAGTTTCAAATAATAATTAAATAAATATAATTATAACCTTATTTTTTTTGAAGCTAATTTGACACCATTATCAGATCCAACAAATGAAACTTGTAATTTAATTGGACCAAGTGATCTAACATAGAACACTACTTATATTTCTTCCCTTCCATAATATTCTGTTTATATAAAACATTGAACAAATATTATAAATAACTTTATTTTTTTCATAAGATAAATAAAATGTCGTATTAATTGATACTCACCATTCCCCAAAAACCTGGATTGGAAATACCAACACCACCATGTGGACAAGATTTTTTATGACAGAGAACATCCATACGTAATGCAATTTTGTTACGTTCAAAACAAGAAGAACGTTCTGTTGATACAATAATGGATGATTGATTTTCTCCAATAATTGTCCATGGATAAATATTTGAGGTCCCATTAATGGAACTTTCTGCTTCAAAACCTGAAACATTAATTTACGAAAGATTTAAAATAGTGAAATAGATCTAAGAAGTGGGAAAGAAATATTACAATGAAAACAAATTAGTAACATAAATTTTTAAAGTAAATATATTAAATTTGTCTCTTATTAGGAAAATAAACTCAAAGATGATTTTTTAAGTGACAATATACATACCTCTATTATTCACAAGTTCTGCCCATAATCCTCCAGCTCCTGCGTGATTAATCTCCTAAAAAATATATATTACATCAATGTATTATAAGATGAAATTATAATAGTAATTTATATGTAATCTTCACAGATATTAAAATATATTGAAATTAAAATTTACTTCAAAAAATGCTCCAAAAAAAGTATCCGGAATAAGCCTTCCAGAACCAGCATCAATCACTAGTTTTGATGTGATATGGCTAGCATTAACATCACAGTGACATTTAGAAATGACCAAAAAAATGTATAAAGAGAAAATAAAATAAGTGAAAGAACTTAAGAAAGACATTGTAAGTTTATAATATATTTTGATTAATCATTTTCACTCATATTTATAAAGGAAGAACAATCTATAAATTGAAGATGATGACAAGAATGATGAGTTGTTAACAACATAATCTATAATTTGAACGTTTTCTATTTTAAAATTAATTTGTTACAAAAATTCTTAAATTCAATTTGAATTTTAATTTTTAACCTGCATTACCTTGTTATGTACTGACGTGTAAAATGTTCTCACCATACCTTACAATAAATTATTGTGCATCTCTGTCAGTAAACAATATATATATGTATATATATTAAATCTATAGCATAAAATATATCAATTTATTTAAGGATAACACTATTTATATTTATAGGTATAGATGAAAAAATATAAAGCATATACACATTTAAGCTAATAGTTATAATAACGAAAAAAATAAATAATTAAAGAGTTTTTATGTTGTTTGGCAATTTTGGGCATACTTGTTAGCTAAGTGTTAAATTAAGATTCACTCTTTAGGGTTTTCGAGAACATTACATTGTCTTGATGCATCAACCATTCTTACACATTTCAATGAATTAGAGCCATATGCATTTTTTTTTTTGGAAAATGCAACTCAACTAGTGAAAATCTCTATAAAAGGTACAACTGTTAAAAATTACAAATCAAGCCTAAAGATAGCACAAGTAGTGCACAAAAAGTCTTGGTGATTAAGTTACAACACATTTTTTGGTGATTAAGTTACAATAAACAACTTATCACAATAAATTTGGTGATTAAGATACAACACACTTTTTGAATAATCTTAAGTATTTGAAACTTGAATGAATTCCAAGATAAAGATTTATATTCCCTTTCAATGTTATAATTCAATAATATATAAAATTTAAGTGCTCAAAAAGTTTGAATGAAACTCTTTGAATGATATGAAAGTGATGCACAAAGTTTGATTGTTAAAATTTGTATGAACA